CAAAGGCCTGAACTCAAAGTAGTGTAAAATGTTAACCTGGTCCAATTCGTCCAACCCAAATTACACTCTTATTTTCTATGCGTTAATCACCATTGTTTTGTGTTTATATCCCAATCAATCCCGTCCGTTTGTTGCCACTGGGCCTGCCTGAGCCTTTGAACTTAAATGTAGGAGAGGATCACTGTATTTATGAAACCTATCTCTATTAATCCCTTCATGAAGAACCGTATACTTTCAACAGTTCCTGATTTCTCTAAAATTGAACATTCCAATAGAACCAACTACAAGCGTTGGAGACAATGCCTATTGTTTGCCTTAGAACAGTTAGAGGTAGCTTTCGCTTTGACTGAACCGAATCCATTAAACATGGAGGAACCAACCCATTTTGTTGTTGTAGAACATTGGACTACAGCTGACCACCTCTGCACCAACCATTTCCTAAATTGCTTGTCCAATGAACTGTATAATGTTTATTCTTCCTACAATTATGCCTATGAAATCTGGAATGCATTGGACACTAAGTATGTTCTAGAAAATGCTGGAAATAAGAAATGTGTAATTGTCAACTTCCTGCACTTCACCATGAAACAAGACATGGACGTGTTTGCTCAAATAGATGAGTTCTAGGTTTTTGTGGGGGAACTAGCAAATGAAGGCATGGTACTGCCAGATGAATTCGTTGTCGATTCTCTAAAAGAGAAACTGCCACATACATGGAATGATTTCAAGACCAGTATGAAGCACAAGAAGAATGACACTACTTTGGACCAAGTAGAGGTCAGAATTAAGATTGAAGAAAAGAACAGAAAGAAAGATGATGACCAATTTTCCAAAATCAATTTGGTGGAGGAAAATACTACAAAATTCAAAAAGAACTTGAATGTGAAAAATGATAAAAAATTCAAGAAACAACAAAAGAAAGAAAACTGCTATGTATGTGGCAAATCCAGACATTGCAAGAAGAACTACCGGTACCGAAAGAAGAAGGACTCTGGGAAATCGAAAGTCAATTTGACTGAGGATGTTATCGCAGCCATGGTAACTGAGGTAAACTTAGCTGATAAGCCAAATGAATGGATATTGGATATTAGTGCTACCAAGCACATCTGTGGGGATTGTAGTTCCTTCTATGAGTATACAACTCAGACTGAAGGAGAGCAATTCTTCATGGGAAACTCACAAACTTCGAAAGTCACCGATGAAGGAGAGGTGCTCATGAAACTGACTTTAGGAAAAAAATTTTAAATTTCTAATGTTGAATGATGTGCTGCATGTGTCGGAGATCTAGCACTCCTCAACAAAGTAGATGTACCCCTTCGAAAACGAAAGCAATAGAATTTTTGAGAGAAAAACATCTCTCTTAATCTACGTGTGCCTCTATCAAATATTAATAAAAATTGATAATCCCCAGCCCTCTTTTCCTTCTTCACATTGTTAAACTTCATTTTAATTTATTATTATATATATTTTTTGCTTTTCTCTTTCTTTATAATTCTAATATTTTCTATAAAGAAACTAAGATGATCTTTTTATTATTAATTTACTGTTTTTAATTTTTTCATCATTTTTCGTTTATTGGTTAACCATTTACTAATGTTTTTGTATTTATTTTATGGTGTTTAATTATTTTATTAAAATAGTTATATTATTTTAATTATCCTTAATAGTTTATTTGATATTTTTTATTTATTGGTTATGAAATTTTTTATATTTTATGCTTTTTAAATAATAAAGGAAAATTTTATATCTTACATTATTTTTAATAATATTATTATATTTTATACTTATTTCATATTATTTTTCATAACATTAAATTAATTTTATTTTTAAAATTTTTATAATATTAATTTGTTTTTATTACTCTTTTAATGTGTATTTTAATCATTTTCATTTATTTTTATTTAAATAACAACTTTTACCGGTAAATTTGTAAAATACATAGTTTTCAGACATTACAACATCCAAATTACGGAATAAGTTCACTACATTCAGATGTTTGCAAAAGTGGAAAAGCAAATTTTTTACTAAATACTTTCATAGCTTTTTTGGAGGTACGCTTGCTTTTCATACTTCAAACTTCAGATTTCCTGAACACCCCCTTAAGTTTTTATAGTGAAATAGTAAATTTCAAACTAAATGATACAGTAGTTGCCCTGTACTTAGTATGGGGTCATTCTCTACATAAAAGTAAAAACATGGTAAGTCTCTTAAATCAAATAAAAAACCTAACCAAAATGTCTAGTATAAGTAATTTAAAGCACAAAAAATAAAGGGTCATTTACCAAAACACCCCTATAGTTTCATGAATTTATTAAAACCTACCATATAGTTTGTGTTTAAGTAAAACATTCACTATAGTTTGCAATTAATTTTACTTAATCAACATTCCATTAGATGAAAGTGAAAAATGATAGTTTTAACCTTAACATTGTCCATTCAGATAAATTTAATCATAGGAAACTGAAAACAAAAAGCCAATTTTTCCCTTTTAAACATGAACAATCACTCTATTTTTCTTTGTTTGGTCAATTTTGTTTTCTATACAAAAAATGGGTTAGGGATACTTTTGGAATAAACTACTATGGACTCATACACTTGAACATTTTCCACTCAGATTAGGGGTATTTTTGGAAAAAAAACCATGGATCAACATTTTTCACTTAATTTAAATGATCATATTAAATAAATAGTTATTAATTAAAGGTCGATTAAATAAACAACCATGGGGGTAGTCTAGTGAATGACCCAAAAAGAAAAAAACAAAAAACATTAACCATGGCATTGACGCGAGGCCACTTGCCTGTTTTGGCATTATAAAAGTAGTAGCGCGTAGCAGACAAGTTCGCACTGCCCCCCAACGAGATCGAGTCCTGTGGGATTCATTTTTCTACCATAGAGGATAATCCGAGTCCGAGGCAACTCCTAATCAGTCAGGGCTGTTCAAGTAAGTCTCTCACTTCCCTTCCTAATTAAAACCTACTCAGTTGTTTGCTTATGCATAGTTGTTGTTGTACTGTTGATCTTGTCATTTTGTTTTTGGTGTTTTGGGTTCAAATACTATTTATACTCGAACCGTTTGGTGTGAAATGTTTTTTATTCGTTTTTGTTTTTACTTTTTCTTTTTTCGTGAGATGATTTTCCGGGATAGGCGTCTGAGAATATCGTTTACGTGGGGGAGAAGATAGAGAAAATGCAGTAGAAGAAGAAGAAGGAGAAAGCTCTAGGTCTGATGGTGGAGATGACTTCGTCCCAGTAAGGAAGGAGAAAGAGAGGGGAAAGTATGAGATGCATAGTATTAGGGCGTAAGCTGAGGCCTTTAGGTTGGAGAGCTGGAGGTCAGAGTCGTAGAAGCAGAAGCTACCCTCTCTCATCTTATCCCTTTGGTTTTATACGGAGCACAAGGACTGCGAGAAAAAATGAGAAAGGAAAAGTCAACTATTATAGTCCAAGGTTATGATGATTCAGTCTTGTTGTGATCCGTGTGACACACGGGTCGGGTGGGTTGGGTCAGTTGAAATTCGACCCAGGCCTAACCTCAAAGCTCCAAACCTCGGGCTTAGGTCTGGCCCAACGGCAGGTCAAGTCCGAGTTCGCACAGCACATTCCCACTATGTATTGAAGACATCTTTCGATAATGATATCATCCATTCTGATACTATCAATGGAAAATGTCTTCAACACACGGCGAGAATGTGCCATGGGATGTTGTGTGGCGCAGATTTAAACTACTTTATCAATCCCCAAGCTTATGGTTATTAATATGAAGGAAACAGATGAGATGGGACAGGAAGGCGGAAGGAAAATGTGCTCAGAAGCGTTGGATCGGGCTTGACATGTTGGTGGAAATATCAAATATTCATCCCCTCTTTATCTGTTGGTATGTATGGTAAGACCGTAAGAGATGAGCGGTTGCAAAGGAGAAGAAGGTAGGGAGGGGAGGAGAAGAGAAATAAAAGGGGAAGAGGGGATGAGAGAGAAAGGAGCAATGTTGGATATCTCCCTGATTCTCTTTTGAAAGAGAAGTGATCAGAGAAAGAGGTGAGATTTTTAAGTGACATTCATCTATTAATTTTTTTTTAGAATTACTTAAATTGAAAGAGCCCGGATATTTTGGTTTTATTAATAATTAATAAAAATAATTATTTTTTAAGGAAAATTTCAGATTAATAATCTGTAGTGTCAAGTTAATATCCCAACTTCAAATCGTGCCACCTAAACTTTCAATTACCCGATTGGCCAACTTATCCCGTGAAGCAAATGAGCCCTTAATGTCAGTGGTATTGCGCCATTTTTTAGTTGGCTGGCGGTTGTACATCTTGTACAGATGTTTTGGTGTTGTTCTCGGGCTCGGGCTGCTTGCCAATTTTTGTGGGTCGGGGCCCCATTGTATTCCTTTCTTCTTTCCTTTTCTAATAAATTTTTATTTTTATTTTTATTTTAACATAAATAAAAACTTATTGTATTGTTTTATTATATCAAATTTCAAGAAAATAAAAGCTAATATGACATTCCATATAGATATTAAGGGAGCAAATCATTATTAAGGTTGCATTTATATGTGATGTAAATGATCAATAACCAGTTTTGTATGCATTTGGAAAGAGGGTGTAATTATCATCCATGTAAAACTATATTTGGATTCAGTTTTGCATGCATTTGAAGGGAGTATAATTTATCAACTCTAAAGTTTTACATGGATGATAATCCACTTAAAAATTACATAGATTATTTTATAGACGTAAAACTTGACACCCATCAGCAACTGTCAATTTCTGCTTCAGTGTAAACGCAACCTAAAAACTAATTTATACATCAGTAACTTTGATTTTCCTTTTCTGAAAAGTAAGTATATTGCCTTATAAGAAATTATAATTAATATATGTTTACTAACTTTGATTTTATGTAAAAGGTAGGCAGAGAATCAATCTATCCAAGTTTGAAGGTAGTGGTGAGCCTAGGTCCTGAAGTAGAAGGCTTCTCTGTCTAATGCTATAATAATCAATATTGGAGTCGGAGATGGCAGAAATCTGGAGCTCTCTTTCAAGCAACCTTGCTGATGAAGATTGGATAATAACAATAAAAGAGGAGCAAGAAGCCGCTCGTACAGTCAAGCCCTGGATACCACTTGTTCCTGAAAACATGAGAAAGGAACCAGTAGTAGCTGACAACAAAACCAGTGCTTATGATCCCGAGGTGGTTACCATCGGTCCTTATCACCATGGGAAGAAGGAAGCCTATAATCCAATGCAGGAACACAAGAAAAAGATAGTTCCCATGTTTGTTTCTGAAGGTGGTAAAAATGTAAAGATAGAAGACTTGCTCAGTAAGGTTGGAGAGATATCACCTAACGCAAGGAACTACTACAATATGGATTCAATAAACAACATTGACGACCAAGTCTTCAGACGAATGATGTTCCTGGATGGTTGCTTTGTTGCATATTTCATTTACTGCATGACCAAAGGAAAATCCAAGAATTTGAACATGGAAAATAAGACTATAATTTCTGTGGCAAGAGATTTGTTCTTGTTGGAGAACCAACTCCCATATCCAGTCCTCAAGGTGTTGATGGAATCCGTTTTCCCACCACCAGAGAAGAAATGGAGGGAAATGATTGACAAGTTTGTTGTCATGCAAGTCATTGGCGTAAACTTTTTAGATACACCTCAGGGAAAAGGTGCAGCTTATCTTAATCGATTTTTTGGAAAGTCTGGATACTTTGAACCACATACTTCTCACAATGAAAGCGACGAACCTCATCACCTCCTCGACCTCCTTCGAACCAAACTCGTCGTCGAAAGAGAAAATCAAATCATACGCGGACCTCAATCAATAGAAGCTAACCGTCAGCCGCAGGAAATCGATCATCCGATGACGGAGAGCTCTCAACAAAGAAGCGATGAACCAGACGTGTCTCAAGTGGGAAGTGAGGAAAACAATAGTTATGATGATGGAAAGGGCTTTAGATTCGAGGACTGTATATGTTGTTGCATTTTGTTGATATGCATTGTCCCACTCTTAATATATTATTTCTACGATATGAGGGAAAAAAGGCTGTTCTTGTCTCACTCACACCAGTTTCGTACTGCCAGGGAGCTTAAAGCAGTGGGAATTTCATTCAAGATTAGTAATTCATTAAGCTTCAGGAGCGTTAAATTCAAACCTGGCATCATCTTCGGAGTTCTTAAACTTCCTCGAATACTCATTGATCACACAGCTGAGGTCAGGTTTCTGAACTTGATAGCCTATGAAAGAAGCTGTTTTGATCTTGATGATTTCATGATAGCATCCTACATCTGTTTCTTGGATTGGTTGATTGATCATGCCAACGACGTTAAAGAACTGAGGTCAGATCACGTACTCATCAACAATCTTGGTAGCGACGAAGAAGCGGCCCATCTCATCAATCGACTGGGAAGGGATTTGATGGATCCCGACGTATATGATGAGGACAAGGAAAACATTCAGAAGTTCTGCAGAAAAAAGCGGAGGACATGGTTTGCTGAAATGCAGTTCAAACATTGCAGTAGCCCTTGGACCATTATTGCTCTCATTGCTGCATCTATGGCACTCTTCTTCTCTGCCGTTCAGGCATACTTCACCGTTTATCCTCGCAGTTAACACTTAAGATGGACCCACTATGGAGATTAAGAATGACAATTGAAGGTTGCAGGTCTTTGATTTGATCGAGAGGATTGATGGCGAGGCTGTTGGTAATCATGCATGTATCTTTTTGCTCATTCCAACGCTGTATCTTTTTCCTCTCCTCCCAGTTGTTTAAAAGAGTTATTTGTTGTTCTAATAATTCGGGATGTTCTCCGCCCCATCTTCTTGATTAATAATAATAAAAAAAAAGGTTTATCTGAAAGTTAAAGCATTTCTTTTGGTTGTTGTATGTTTATGTAGGAACAAGCTATAGCTGTGTGCAAAAGAGAAATCCTGCACTAGGCATACAAGCTAGGGAGTTCTTTTAAGAGGGAAACAAAGCCCAAAACATTTTAGCAAGGAGTAGTTTGTAAATAAAAAGAGAAATAAAGATTTTAGTAAGTTCGCGGTAAAAGAATTTATACAAGTGTAGGATTTAAGAGGATTAATAGTATGTGAGAATTGCTAAGGTGAACTAAGGTTATGTTTGCTTTGAAGGAAATGATAGGGAAAGGAAGGGAAAGGCAGGAAACCCTATACAAAGGAAGGAATTAAGGTTATGTTTGTAACCCTACTTTTTTTCTTCAAACCAAACACAACCTAATTGTTAGTTGTTAAAAGAGATCATACGGAAAGTGAAGAAATTTTATGTACATAGGATGACCCAATAGTCCCTCTGAAATAGGATGCGTGGAATCAAACCCTCATACCCATTCAGCTTGGGAATCATCTAGGCAATCAGTTCCGTTTTACCCCAAACCCGGTCCTTGGCCAAATACTATTGAATCAGTCAACGACCTGTTTGTTCAATGGTTTTTGGCTGTTTTTTATTTTTTATTTTTAATTTTTTTGTTGTTAGAATGAGCCATCCGTTCGAACTGGACGGTCGAACTGTCAACCCAAAAATCTATGGCCTGAATGATTCCGTCCAGGTCGTTTTTAAAACCATGTCCTATTGTCAAAAACCACAAAGGTACTTTAAGCCATTTATAAACGGAAGAGGTACATACTTCAAATATTTATAAAATATCTTATGGTTCTTTTAAGTATTTTGACCCTTGAATTAAACTCCTTGGTTGTGTTTGTTTGCAATGCTTTTGCACCTGATTTAATTTTGCATCCAATTATTTATAACCATGATTTACTTTCTTGCTTGATACAAAATTAATACTTTTTATCTTATTTGCACTCATTGGCAGTACAAATTTTACATCCTAAAACCTTATGCAAAATTTATCCTTTTTAATAAAAACAAGAAATCAATAAAAAGAGCTAGACACAGCAGGGGTACAACAAGCTGACATCCAAGCTTGTTGTACAATTAAAAACATTTTGTCCAAATTTGCCAAAGCCTCGGGCCAGGCCCCTAACTTTGACAAGCCAACTTTACTCTTCTCAAAAAATATTCACCCAAAACATAAGAAAATCATGGCTAAAATCCTTAGGATCCCCTTACAGGCAAAAAGGAGAACTACTTGGGTGCTCCTGTATTTAGCAACAAATATAACAAGGAAACCTTCAAATTTTTGGTGAGAAGATGGAGAGTAAGCTGGCAGGTTGAAAAAGAAACTGTCTCTCCCTTGCTAGTAAAATTACTCTCATAAAGGCTTCTAATAACATGATTCCTCAATATATTATGAGATCATTTAAAGTCTCGAAAAAGCAAAGGGATTTCTTATGTACTAATAGTAAAGAGAAGAAACCCCTCCACCTCATCAATTGGGGCCGGGTCTGCACTTTTAAGCTTTGGGGTGGGCTGGGCCTAAAGAATCTAGGTTGGATGAATGAAGCCTGCCTTGCAAAATTAGGATGGAAAGTGCTAAATGAAAAAAATAACTTATAGGTTCAAGTTGTAAATAACAAATATCTATAGAGAGAAAACTTTTGGGAGACTAAGCCAAAAAAGAATCATTCATGGGCTTGGAAATGCACCCTTGATTCCCGTGATTTGATTGAGAGGTATAGGAATGATTATTGGCAAAGGTAATGACACAAAATTTTGGTTTGATAAGTGGTCAAATGAGGTTTCCCTTATCAACTTGGTTAATAAAGCATAAATTAATAATTTAGACCTCCATGTTAGTGATGTCATCAATAAGGAGACCATAACTTGGAAGGAGGACTTGATTAAGAACTTAGTGCCTTTAAGTGCGTGGAAAAAATTAAAACTATTTTCATTCCACCTAATGATCATGAGGATAGTCTCTTATGGAGGCCTAACCCAAATGGAAACTTCTCAATCAAATTGGCCTATAATGAGGCCTATTGGATGCATGGTAATCCTACTAGGGTGACAAAGGAAAATAAGGTATGGAGTCTGAAAACTATTCCCAAGATTAAAGTCTTTTTATATCTCTTGCTCAACAACAAACTTCCAAGGTAGCCCTTAGAAAAAGAGGTTTTGATATTGACGGCTGCTGCGATTTTTGTGGTGATGAGGATTCTGTTCATATTCTTTAAAAGTGCCATTTTACTAGACAAATATGGCTTATCATGAGAAACACTATTCCGGCTCCTCCGGAGAACAACAATTCGGTGCTTGAGTGGTGGACTTCTTTGGATGGTAATACTTATTATCCTAAGGTTCCATTTGTAAAAGAAAAAATTGTTGTTTTATTGTGACATATTTAGAAGAATCGAAATAACAAGATTTTCAATAACAAGGCAATTCTTCCTCCCATAATCATTGATAGAGCTAAAAACTCATTTATGGAATCTACTTCAAGTTATGACAGGAATTCAATGATTGAACCTATTAGATAGCTCATCCCTGTCAAGTGGACAAATCCAGAAGTGGACAAAATCAAAATAAACTTTGATGCTTCTTGCATTAACGACCAATGCTCCATTGCTTGTGTAGCCAGAAACCACCTTGGCCAGATTTTGGACTTCAAAGCCTTTAGAATAGGAATTACGACTATTAATCTTGTTGAAGCATGGGCTGCTTGAGAAGCTCACAATCCCACTCAATTTCAACAGAAAATCCATCATCATTGAAGGCGATTTAAAGTTAATTATTGACAGTTTAAAGAACTAAGTGGCCCCACATTGAAGGTTGCAGGTCTTTGGTCGAGAGGATGGACGATCGTGTTGAGTACAATTACACCTATCGGGAAGGAAATCAGGTTGCTCATTGACTTGCTAACTGTGCTCATTCCAGCCTTATTTCTTTTACTTCGTTGCCTTTCTCCTTAAAGATGCAAAATTTATACTTCATCAATTCTCTGGTATAAAATGGAGACATCATTTACTTCTTACCTCATGCCCAAACAACCCATGCATTTACACCTGTGCAAATAAAATTCACATTGCAAACAAACTGAGCCCTTCAATACTTCCCCATCTCAATTGGAATGAGTAGAGCTCCATGCCTGATGCCTACATTAGAAGTGGAAATGAAGCTCCTTCCCAAATAAATGCTCATGGGAAAGTGAGTTAAGAAAATTTTAGATCTAAGCACGATGATGGAAGAGTATAATCATGCCACACAAAAACACAGCGGCTCCACCAAAAGATTCTACGCTATACCAAGGAAACAGGAATCTATCATATAAAGAGAAATGCCCATCTCTATCTGGCCTGGGTATTTTGTATTCCCTCAAATATACTTACAAATAGATTACAATATAAATTACACAAGCATGGTTGTTAATAGCATAGCCGGTGGAAGGTCAGCATGAGCCTTAATATTCTCAGGCTCGGCCACCCTCCCCTCCCCCCAGCCCTCTAGCTCTAAGATATGCTGCCTCCTGTACCATACCCGGTTCCCACCTTCGATGTTGCTCTCTGCTCAGCCCCACCGTCTTCCTTCTCTTTGAACTCGTTCACCACGTCAAATTCAAAGCCAACACCATTCCCCCCGTACAAGTCTCCATCCCATTGACCAATGAAGTCAGATTTCTTCTCCGTACTGGGTGGAGGTGGAACCAATACAGAAGAGGCAGGATCTGATGACCCATCGTCCACCCTCTGCTTCTTCAGTGGGGACATGGGTCCCTCCACTGCAGCAGCAGTTACGGAAGTAGACTGCTTTTGCTTTTCGTCAGCCAATGGCAGTGGCTCTGAGGCTTTGAGTGCTCCACCTAGCTTTTGCTGTTCTTCGATTATCTTCTGCAAGTACCTCCCCTGAGCTTCAATTCTCAGTTGTAACTGCCTTTGCACCTACGATTGGGAGACATGAAATCAAGGGGCTACATCAAGGAAACTGACTTATAATGCCCACTGGGAAGGAGTTCCATGGTTTTTCAACAAGGTAAAGATTCGATTAATTTCAGTTGTATTTCATGTAAAGGCATATCCATATAGTAAATATATGTAGGAACTAGGGCATAACATAATACAATACGGGAAATGTTCGTACCAATTCAAAATTTAAGAATAAGTATGGTGGAAAAATCAGTCAAATAAGTCAAAAGATAGGTAAAATGTGTATTCATATATAATATATTTTATTTAAATTTTTTGAGTAAAATTATGTAAATATTTGTGTATTTAATATATTAAATTTAAGAATATGCAAATATATAAATAGATTTTTTATTTTTTATATAAAATTAACAAATCCCAGATTTTTGGACCCATATTCTTCAAAATCTGTATCATTCATCTATCATACATTTTTTTCTGAACTATTTACATGTTTTTCCATGTCTTTGAAAAATCGTAATTTGGGATTTTTTTTAATACATAAATATGCAAAATATTTTGAGTTTTAAACAGCAAATTTGCTGACTATGATCCAGAGAATTGTTTTTTGAAAAGGTAAAAGTAAAACTTTGACACGCCATAAAATACTCGGGACTACAAAACATAACCACAAGCAATGGAACCTGAGTCAAACCTCAAGCTGTTCATGGAGACGTTTCTGCACTTCCATCTGCATCCTCAATGCTTCATTGATTTGCACCCCCCTGAAGAATGGAATTATGTGATGAACATTAAATGAGCTATAAATTTTTTTTACAAGCACTATCAGGTTATAAATGTTGATTTTACTTTTCTACATTAATTCAAATGGGATCATGTGAGAGAACAAAGATACTCACGGGGCAGAATCCATGCTGGATAGGCTATCACCAGAATCTTTCTTCTCATCTTTGGAACCTGAAGGCAAAATGTGTTTCATCAAACAATAAGTTTGATATCTTCAGAAAGTACAGTCAAAAGTGGCTTCTTCAAATTCAGTAATTCTAGCAAGGGAGTAGATGGATTAGGTCTTTACCATCAGCTGGTGACTCTGGAAGGTACTTAGCAAGACGATATTTCTACATGAAGCAATAAGGATAATAAAGGTGGTAAGTTTTCAGAAAAGCAAATATAATATTCCATTCGATATCAACCTAAAACAAATTGCTGCAAGGATAATGTAACCTGTAAATGACTTTTCACATGATAAATAGTAAGTCCAGGTACACCCATCACCCTTAGAACACCTTTCGGTGTTGCCCCTGAGAACAAAAGAAAAATAAAAAAAAGTAAGCAAAAGTGTATCCTTAAACTCATGATGAAAAATAACCAGATGGAGGTACATGTGATTTACAAAGGATAAGTTAAAATATAAGCATCAATAGAAAACTTGTATCATTGTTCCATCCAATGCAAAAGTTGGGTGGCACAATTGTAATATGAATATGCAAAAGTGAAAGTCAAGGGAAATTTTATCAATGAATAAATAAATTTCTATTTTGCTAATAAAAAAAGATCAAAAGGGAAATTAACATTCTTCAATCAAATGTTTCACCTTTCAGGATAATTAAGTGATGGGCGAATCAAGCAGTTCTAGGATTTGACCTAAATTTCCAACTATTCATCTGCAGCAAGTATTTCGTTATGGATCCACAACCCCAGGAGAAACTAACACCACCCAAACCCTCATTTTGCTAAATGGTACCCATATCAGATGATGCTATAAGACAAAGAGTCAATATTAAATCAGTGTCATACCATGGAAACTTCACCTCTTTTCCAAGTTTTTTAGAGGAAGTAACTGAAATTTATTAGAAAAAAAAAGAGGCACATATGAAGATGTTACCTATCACCATACAAAACATCTAAAGGAGCACCAAACTTTGCTAATCCATCTGCAACTGAGTTGAGATCCCTTGAAATCCAGAGCAAGTTAGCATTTAAGAGCTCCAAGATATCTCCCACCTCCACAAGAAAATGACTTAGTCCCCACAGACCACCTTCTTTATCTGTTAACCACTTTATAGTATTTGCAGAGTTGCCTTCAATGGTTAGGTTCTAAATTCCAAATTTCTAACTATTAGAATACCTGTAAGAGTAGCCAACACTTCAGCCTTGGTAGAGTCAACAATTCCAATTGGCCCACTATAGGCCCAACAAATACTTCCCCTGCCATCTCTTAAAACTCCTCTAATACCAGCCACTGGGACTGCCTGAAGCGCCGCCAAAGTTTAAAGTCAAATCTCCTTCCCATCAAAAGGGCCTTGGGAAATAGGCAGGGAACAAGGGGAAGAGAACAGGAAGTTGTACACACCTCCACTGAGATAGGGCTCCTGGGCCAGATGGCTTCCCCATTTTTTCTTCCACAAGTGTTGGGAAATAGTAAAGTCAGATCTGATGGTTTTTTTCAGGGACTTCCACTCTTCCATCATTGTCCATAAAGGCCTAAACTCAACCTTTCTTTGTCTCATCCCAAAGAAAGCGGGAGTCTTGGAAGTTAAAGACTTCAGACCAATAAGTCTGATAAGGAGCACTTATAAAATTTTGGCTAAGGTTTTGGCAAGAAGACTAAAAGAAGTCCTAGAAGACCTAATCTCCCCAAATCAATTTGCTTTGGTAAAAGGGAGACAAATTGTGGACAGCATTCTAATCGCAAATGAGTGTGTGGAAGACAGGAAAAATTCTGGGAATCCAGAAGTCCTTGTCAAACTAGATCTGGGAAAGGCTTATGATAAAGCGGATTGGGAGTGTATTTTAGATTGCCTGAAGATGAGAGGCTTTGGCAGAAAATGGATCAGGTGGATCAAAGGATGTATTGGTTCTTCATGGTTTTCAATATTGATAAACGGTGAACCGAGGGGCTACTTCAAGGCCAGCAAGGGTCTCAGACTAGGTTGCCCACTCTCCCCTTTTCTATTCACTCTGGTGATGGACATATTCAATCATCTGTTTAATAAGGCTACTCTTCTTAATTTGGTGAAAGGTTTTGAAGTGGGAAGGGACAGGATTCACGTTTTGCATTTACAGTTTGCTGATGACATAATCTTGTTCCTGGATGCCTCCCTAGTTAACATCACAAACACGAAAAGGATAATTGAATGCTTCGAGCTCATTACTGGCTTAAGGGTTAACTTCTGCAAAAGTAGTATAGTAGCTCTAAACTCAGTGGAAGAAAAGCTTCTAGAAAGCTTTAAATCCTTGTTGGGTTGCAACGTGGAGAATCTTTCTATTTCCTATTTAGGTATGGTATGCCTCTAGGAGGGAATCCAAAATCTGTCAACTTCTAGGAGCCGGTGGTGGAGAAATTGAGAAGAAATTAGTATCTTGGAAGAAATGTTATCTTTCAAAAGGGGGTAGGCTTACCCTTTTAAAGGCCTCATTAGCAAACATGCTAGTCTACTTCTTTTCAGTCTTCCAGATCCCAACCAAAGTAAAAAATCAGTTTGAGAAGCTTCAAAGGAACTTTCTTTGGGAAGGAGGTGGCGAGAAAAGAAGCCACTTAGTCAGTTGGGAACAGGTTTGCAAGCCTAAAGAGGAAGGAGGCTTGGGAAATGGGCACTTAAAAGAAAAAAATTCCTCTCTTGAGAAAATGGCTTTGGAGGTTCTCTAAAGAATCCAATGCTCTTTGGGCAGCTGTCATTTCAAACAAATACGGGTCAAACACAAATGGATGGGATAGAAATCTCCATTTGAATAGGATAAGTCAACAAATCCTTGGAAAGGTATAATCTCCACTCACTCTTTTTTCTTTCCCTTTATAAGATATAAAGTGGGTAATGGATCTAAAATAAAATTCTGGAAAGACCTCTGGCGAGGAGAAACTACCCTTGCAGCCTCATTCCCCAGACTTTTTAACCTCACCCTGAAACAAGAAGCCACTATTTCTTCTTGCCTTCCAGACCAAACTGCTGAGAACACCCTAAACATTTGCCTCAGAAGACCTCCAAGGGACCCGGAGATTTCTGAACTAATTGCCTTACTTCAGACACTGAAAGAAGCCTACATCTCCCCCTCCTCCCCTAATACCCGAATCTGGACACCCCATCCTACTGGTGAATTTTCTTGTAAGTCTATGTTCAAGGTTCTGATTGCTGGTGAACAACACTCCTCCTTCCCCTTCAAGAAGATCTGGTGCAGCCATATCCCTTCAAGAATCTGCTTCTTTGTATGGGAAGCTTGTCTTCAGAGACTAAACACTTGTGATCTCCTCATGTTTGCATTTTATGTTTCAGTGATGGTGAATCAACAGATCACACTCCTTCACTGTAAGTTCACCCAAAACATTTGGTTTCATTTTTTGAGAATGACAGGATACAGCTGGGTTATATCAGAGTACATTCTGGACTTCTTGCATCAGTGGCAAGGCATAGCCTCAAGTAAAAGGGGTAGAGTTTATTGGCAATCTGTGCTACATGCAGTAATGTGGGGAGTTTGGGATGAAAGAAATAAACGCCTCTTTGACAATAAATTCAGGCCCCTTGAAGAGTTAATTTCAGACATTTCTTACCTTTGCAACATCTGGACTGTCAATTCAGATCTGTTCAAAGGACTCTCAGTCAATGACCTCAATAGAGATGCTCACCCCTTTCTGTTTCTCCCTCACCCTCATCAAATAACCTTGAGACAACCAGATTTTCTCAGTGATGGAGTGGTGACCCTAAACTTTGATGGAAGTGCTTTGGGAAATACTGGGAGACTGAACCACTACTTGGCAGAGGCTTGGGACTCCTTGGACTGTTTAAATGCAAAATTAATTTGGATTCCTAGGGAACTAAATCATATAGCAGATGGCTTAGCAAAATGTGGCGTGTTTTTGGATCATTTGTATACTGACAAGCTTCCTCCTCTATAATCTTCTGGGGTTCTTCCCCTGTTTTGTACATCTTCTCATGTACCATTTATTCCTTCAATGAAATCTGGTTAAATTCCTCTAAAAAATATCATTAACTGAGATGCCTCTTTTTCAAGTTCCAACAGAGAAAAGTTCAATTTCAAATTTGGTGAATGGTGATCACATGCACCTATGTTTTCATGTTGACAAAAGAGGAGAATGTTGGTAATGTATTGGCCTCATAACCACAATTCACACTCAATCGATTGCTAATCAGTTGAAGAGTACAAAAACCTCTGTATGCAACTTCCAACCATATGCATCTCTAAAACCTGGAACCACTCATCATCAGCATCTAAGCAACTAAGCCTTGGTGTCAGCCACATGAATCCTGTTTTGCCATTCCATTCTGTTCCGTGTCCATATCCATTGTTAAATTATGGGCGCTTAAATACTCCTACCCAAGTCCTTTTTGGTCTGCCCCTATCTCTTCTAGCCCCTTCAACTTGTAACAGACACTCTTTCTCTAATAGGTGTTGCAGATGGTCTTCTATGCACATGACCAAACCATCTCAGTCTATATTTTATTTTACCACCAATTGGAGCTACTCCTAGGTTCCTTCATATGACTTCATTTCTAACCCTGCCCTTTCTAGTTTTACCACTCATCCATCTAAGCATTAACATTTCTGCCACACATTTTTTGGACATACTATTTTTTAACTGCCCAACACTCTGCTCCATACAGCATTGTTGGCCTTACAACTGTTTTATAGAACTTTCCTTTTACCCGAAGTGGTATTTGCCTATCACATAAGACTCTGGATGAACCCCTCTGTTTTGCCCCTTCTGCTCCAATTCTATGGACGACATCCTTCCCAATCTCTTTTTTGTTCTGAATTATTGAACTAGGGTAGCAGAAGAGGTAACACTAAGTTATCTCTTGGCGTCCAATCTATACCCTGGCTTGCACTCCTATTGTTATTATTATTATTTTTTTGATAAATGGCTTGGACTCCTATTATTATCAAATTTACATTGCATATTCTGTCTTGATCCTAGTTATTTTAAAACCTGTTGGTTCTAATACAGTTTTCCATAAACCTGATTTTGCATTTAATCCTTGGATGGTTTTATCAATTAATACTGTCTTATCAGGAAACATCAGGCACCATGGGACCTCCTCTTGAACATGTTTGGTCAATTCATTTATGACTAGTAAAAAATTTATATATGGATTTATCCTAAAAAACTTTTGATGTCATAGCCTCAGTTGTGACAACAGGAAAAAGGACACCAAAGAATCCACCCCTTGGCGCCCATCCTGAACATCTTGTTCTTGGTACTGAGTTCAGCCACCAGGTTGGCCAATGTCTTGAACAAAGCAATCTTCTATAGGGTTCTTTCTTCTTAATGCCTCATTCCAAATACTATTGTTCTCAGACTAAAAAGAAGAATTGGGACTAAAAGAATATAGTCCATGCCCTTTTCTTCGTAAAGGAACATCAAACATCTAACTCAACCACCATGTTTCTAACATAAAAATAAAGTTAAGCACAACCAAAGACTGCTGCATACATGGGAAAGGGGCATAGAAGATAAACCCTTAGCAGAGACACACAATGATCAAGATACAATAAAAAGATGATAATAAAAATAATTTTGTTTTTCCATTGAGAGGAATTGCACCAAAAATTTATAGGCTCATTTTGGAAGAGCTGAAGCTTTGGTTCAGCTGCTTTGGAGAAGCCACTAGATGAAGCTTCAACAGAAAGCTGTTTTTTAGCTGAAGGACAGAAAATTTAGGCTTTAGGGTTTTTTCACCAAACATTGCTTATACGTTGTCCAGGTGTGCAATCCCAACTCCTTTGCTTTCAATGGTTAATGTGATGTTAACCATCTTGCTTTCCTGATTCTAGGAGCTGCATTTGTGCCAAGCCTCTCTCTGAGAACCTCCTTTTTTTCTAATGGTGTTCATTCATATCCTTAATACACAGTTTTCAAGGCACCAAGGCGAGGCTAGGCGACAGGGGGGCGCCTTGTCACCTAGTTGCCTAGGTGGGTGCCTAGGCGATAGATTTTTTTAAGTGAAAAATACATATCCTAGGTAGTTCCCTTGGTTCCATAACCATCTTTCCTTAATAACTATCCATAATTTTCATAAGAAAATTATAAACTTCATGTTTATGTCTAGAAAATTAACATATTTATGAGAAGAAAAAGAAGAAAGAAAAGAAAATTCAAAAAAAAGGGGGACTGAACCCCTATTTTTGTTATAGGAAAAGAAGAAAAGAAAAGAAAAGGTGGAGAAAGAAATGTGTAGATTAGACAAAACTTTAAGTTTTTCCCTTATTGGTTCAGATTCTGAAGTCTTTGCGGGTTCAACACAGCAGTTAGCAATTCTTTGTGTTGATTAAACCCTAACAAATAAGAAAATAATAAAAAGAAATTAGTTTATAAACACAAAAAATGAATATTTTTGTTTAATAATGTCTATTTTATAATTATAATCTCAAAAAAGTAACAATATAAAAGTATTTTATAAGACAGTATACAAAACTGCTAGGTGACTGGGCGAGGAGAACCTCCAACGGCGCCTTGTCACCTAGGCATCGCCTTGACAACTATAATAATACAAGACATTTTTAAAAGACAATGAACTATAATTAAAATTACAAAACTAACCTTTTATGTACAAAATAAGAATTTAAGACCTTAAGTCCTTAACATGAGCTTGTTTGGGCTTGCTTCAAGGGCCTTGGTCAGGGGTCTGGTGGTGGATCCCCTGGCCTAGATGCTAGGTTTAAAAAAGAGCAAAATGCACAAATTTTGAAAAAGCACACGTCTGGGTTGATGTGCAAGGCACATCAGGTGCATGCCTTTTGAAAGTGCTGTGCCTGGGGCCTAGGTGAGGCGCAAACTTTAAAATGCACCTTGCCTGTTCACCTAGGTGAACCTAAGGCACGCCTTTAATCATTGCTGTGGACTTCGTAATTTATAACATAGGGAAAATTCATAAAACTAAGGGGAAGATTCGGAATAGAAGAGTTAACTGAAGCAGATCCAGAATTCAAGTTTTAGGGGCCATTTGATAACACCTGAGGCGGCTGAACTGAATGAAATATTGTTTTGTCTTTTAGTGGACAAAATAAATAAATGATAAACTATTTAAGTGTATAGCAATCAACCCAATTTCAGCTTCAACCATTTAAGAGCTCACATCCTCCACAATGACTTATTAAGGGGTGCAATTTGGGTGGCCCCAACCCAATCCCAAACTGACTCAGCCCATAAGTGTTGTTGGGTAGTGAAGTTTAATCACATCAAGGGACTTGATGTTCTCATCCTTCTTTCTTTCTTTGGTAGGAATGGTTTTTTTTATCAGCGAGGTAGGAGTTATTAATTGGCATTTCTTATGTTTTTAAGCTTACGAAGTTGTTGCAGACCTACAAGAATTAACTACTTTCAAGTTTCAATCTCTACGGGAAAGAGTCAGGCACACAATACCAATGAAGCATGGTCCTTCCATTTCCTACTTCCCATAAACATCTTGAAAAATCTTTCTATGCAGAATAAATATATACCTTATCACAAAGGGAAATTAGGGTAGCCTAATATTTATAGGATGAGGCTATAATGAAAGAATCAAAGAATGCATGTCATGAGTTAAAGCTTTATTCAAGTAGTCATGGAGAGGAAAGTAGATAAAGGAGGACACTGATGGGGCACAACTGCATGACCAACATCTATTCAAGGCTGGCCCAACTTGTATGGGCCATACATGTCAAGTTTTGGACCATTTCCTTATTTTTCATGCAAGTTATCATATGCTGATCAAACACTTGAACATGTACACCAACCTGGTTGCTCAACCTTATGTTCTGATGCAGTGTTTAGCCTTTTATGAAGACATTAACACCTCTCCCCCCCCCCAAAAAAAAAAGAAAAGAAAAAGAAGAAAAAAGAAATAGCAATGAAAATTGAAGGCAAAAAGAAAGAAAAAAAACATAAATAAGAACGAAACAAAATAAATAAATAATTACTGAATGTAGAGGAGTCTTGAAGGTTGACATTATATCTCTTTTGCACCAACATGCACCCTAATCCTCTTATTCTCACATTTGGTTACCTTTTCAGATATGCAGAAAATTACAGTTGAAGATGGAGACAAGGGCAATGATAATGATGATGAGTAAAAGGTTACACACATTTAAATGAGCATTATTTACTAGTGCTGTCTAAAGCTCTCAACATCATGAAAGAAACAACTATACTGGTTACCTTCCGACCTAGGCAATTCAGAATATCACATACATTTAAGTATAACGACATTAAGTTCTTGAGAAGTTATTGAAGGTACAAAGGCCCATTAAAACATAAACAATCCCTTAATTAGGAATGCAAGAACAAAATAATTAATTTTATTTCCTTATAACAGCATTAACTGCTGTATTCATTCAAACATCATCAAATTATCTGTGTTGATTTTATGCTACCTGACCTGACCTACCAAAAGGGATAGGTGAAAACATAAACCATGGCTTATACAAGTGAACTTCATTAAAAAAAAAAGAACTAGCATGGCAAAGTAAACCTTGGACCATCTTGAAATATATCCTTGCCTTGGAACAAAGGTAAAAACTCAACAAAGATGCATCTACAGTCATCACAACCTCAATGAACTTAAGCAGGAACTTAGCAGTCATATCCATATCTTGCAGTTCAATAACTTATAGTTTTCCAGCTAATTTGGTAAAAATGTAAAACCTCATAAAAATGGGAAGTGAAAAAGCAATTAGTTCTGGTTGTGACTTGTGATAAAGTGCCTGTTTGGGAGGGCAGGCTGAAGCACTGCAGACTCTGGATTTCCAAGGTGGGCCCCACATGGACAGCCTATAAGCTATGTTTGGTGAAAAATCCAAAAAGCCCAATCGGTCATTAGTGAGTCATTTGAAGGGCTGTCCACTTCAGCCTCTTTGAATAGCTTGTCTGGAGCACTTCAAAGCAGCTGAACAGCTTGGCTGAATCTTCAGCCCAGCCCTCCCAAATGGGCCCAAAATTATAGAAATTCTTTGAAAACCTAAGCTTCAACAAAAGATGGGAGCAGATGGATAAAAATGATGGAACAGGACCCATGTGGCCCATACCAAATGGATTGGGAGTTGGGACAATGTACCAACAAAAAAACTAGTTGGGTGACAACGATTGTGACCATAAATCAATGAAAAATAGCATTCCAGTGCACATTTCTTATTCTAAAAATAAAGAAAGAAGGAAAAGAAAAGATGGACAATATATTTCCATTACTGAATAGAAAATACCCACTGTCTGGTCCACCGAGTTGTGTAATTGCGTCTACAAAGCGGTCATGAAGATCTGAAGTCCACCGCAACCGCTGCTTCCCAGTTCCTCCAGAAGTAGCTGAGTTATTTATTGTTGATCCCCCCAGCACTCCAACATTTGGCAATTGATCAGCACCCTGGGGCTGGGGCTTATGAGGCACTAACGTCATAGTTGAAAATTTCTTCGCATGATACATATTGAACAGACTGCAAGAATTTTGAAGTATCCTCAGAGATTCAAAGTTCGGAAGAAACCTAATAAAATTTTCACCACAGAAAGGCTAATGAAATATGAAACGTAGCAATCTTCTAGAAGCCAAATATAGCAGCGCACTAGTACTGAAAATCCATTTTCACGGGATGAAGCTGAGGTTGACTTAAGCCTCATAAAGCCACACTTGATATCAAAACAAAACTGCCCAATAAATCAGGTACCCGATGAACTGCTCAAGCATACGACAATAAACAGCAATGGGAGGAAGCAAAGGGGGGAGGGAGGACAGAGAGAAACAAAAAAAAAAAAACACCTGAATCAAAACTCTTCATAACCAACAAGCATATGCAGTAAGCTGATGGAAATTTCTGCGAGGAATTCATCAAACAAGCAATTACTTGAAAAAGAAAATTGTGATGGGAGATCCAAATCACCAAATTTTCAAACACAGCTCAAATTCCGTGTAAAATCATTAAGAAGCTTCAAAACAGAAGCTGAAAAGTTGGAATTCAAATCAGAAGAGGATATTCAAACTCCAAAGAAACTCTACCTCCTGAAACTTCAATGCAAAACACCTACAAACAAGCAATTACTTAAAAAGGAAAAACAAAACTCTGATGAAGATCCAAATCACCAAATTTTCTAACACAGCTCAAATTCCATGTTAAATCATCAAGCAGCTTCAAAAGAGAACTTGGAAAGTTGGAATTCACATCAGAAGAGTATATTCAAACTCCAAAGCAACCCTACCTCCTGAAGCTTCAATGCAAACCAAACACCTACAAGTCCCGAGAATTTCCAATCCCCATCAGCTACTTCAAAACCCGCTACCCTTCACGAGAATGTCTACAAAAGCTCATCTTTTTCAACAGAGCCCTCCTGATAGAAGCATTCAAAACCCTAGCGGGTGCATTGAATGCAACACCACAATATAAACGGGAGATCCGAAGCTCGAATTCCAAGTCTCTGACCACTCGAATCTACTTCTAGAAAGACGACACGCCCGAATTAGGAACCGAAGCGTTGAAACTTTGAACGATCTGCACGGAAATAGAAAGAGCACTAGAGCAGGTGAATCACTGCACTTCGCAGCGAAAACGAAGAGAGATCGAGGAGAGATGTAGATGGTTGAAATTTTAATAATTAGGGTTTCATCAGAGAAAAATGGAGGGAAATACTTAGGGTTTTTTTTTCTTTTTTTAGTAATTTTGGAGAGGTCAGGCTGTACAAACTCCAGAGGACTCTCCGATTTCGGAAAGAAAAAATAAAAAGCGAGAGAGATGGGGAAAAAAAGTTAAGTCGTCGAGATAGCGTGCAAAGGACGACGGCCTTTATAGTGACGCTTTCTGATTGTGGGTTAGGGCTTAATACATCTCGGACTAGATTTGGAGGCTTCTGCCTGAAGTAGATTCCTTCGTGCGAGCGCTGAGGTAAGCCATTGGAATGGAATCTCTTGGCTTGTGGGACTGGATGGAGTTTTTTCATCTGACGGTTCAGAAATGGCTTGTAGATAGGGTTGAGGGAACTGGAGCTTAGGTGCCCTTGTGGTTTAGTTTTAACTGTTGAGAGTGATATCATGAGACGTCACCTAATCGCTTTCGATGGAAACCGTCTGATTAGAATCTATAGGCCTATTTGGAAATCTGATGATTTTAGATAGATGGAGTTGTATGCAAGGAAAGTATGAAGACTTGGGTAAAATAATATAGAAGCCCAAATAGATGATGGGGGCCCACCGGTCATCCGCTTCGAGTTGATTAATGGACTTGAGTGAAATAATGGACTCATGGACGTGTCACATGGCGACATCCGACATGCGCTCTGGATTCTCTCTCACTCGAGAACGAGTCGCTGACTCGCTGATGTTTGTTCGCTTCCCTCTTCGTGACTTCAACGAGAAATCAGCAGAACAGAGGGTTTGAATATTTTTGATTGGTTTCGAGTCTTTTGACCATTACAAAGTCGAAAGAAATGAGAAATCGGTGGAGGGTTCCATTCCACAACTTGTTTGGTTAGTACTCGTGCTGGCTAGGCAGTCAAATAAGGCTAAACTGTATTTGATGTCATTGTCACTTCAGGCTCTCTTGGTATTAAGGCAGTGTTTGGCCATTAATGCCGTTGCTATCAATGACACAATAATAGACCAATGCTGAAATTAGTTATACAACATTAGTAACAAATAAAACTAGTTCAGCACGAAGGCCAAACGAAAAAAAAGAGCAATTTTCTAAGAAAATGGTGCAATAGACTCTCATCCATACAGCACCATTTTCTCAAAAAATAGCTATGAAGCAACGACATCGAAGCCAAACACCTGGTAAGAAAAGCAGTAGTATTTCATGTCAAAATGCCAACACTGGCGTTTTGTTTGGTTAACTGTTATTTATGGTGACCAGGTTGAACAGAGTGTTTTGAGCAGTATTATGTTTGGTAATTGGAATTACTAATTATACTTACATCTTATTTGGTAAGTTTATAAAGTACAAATGTTTTATATTGTTTTATACTTCTTTTTATTTATTTATTTTGGGTTATTTGAAATTTATTTTTGTGGAAACATCAAAGCGGTGTTTCTATTATTGTATTTCCATTTCCTTTGGCTCATGCCTAATGGCGTTTAATGACACCGATGTGTAATAAAATACAATAAACAATGTTGTATTATAATTCATGTCTACAATATTTTTTTGCCCAATTTCCAAAGTAAAAACGCAATGGATATGCAAGGTATCCATACCAAACACCCACAAAATGAAATGCATGTTTATATTCAATGTGACACTAGCCTACTATAATATTCTCTCATCCAATAGTCAAATTTAAAAGTAAATGATGATTGGTCCATTATTACACATAAATTAATATCTAGATGCAGTTTAATGATTCTAATGGTCCTAAAAACACGCAACCCCCTCTCAATGGTGTCTGTGTATGTGTATATATATAGTGGTGTATTCATTGGATTGTTTCTTCAAATGTGCATCTCGTTGAGAAATCTCCAATACCCCATGATTTATATTTCTTGTAGAAATGCTTTATGACTATTTTTAACTCAAAATGATTCCAATCAAACATATAAATAGGGATGGCAATGGATCGGTTACCGGTGAAAAATTGCCCTTCTCATTCTCAAACCTGTTTAATTTTTTGTCCTAATTTCTCAAACTTATCCCATCCCCAATCTGTTAACCATGTCACGACCCATCTTGCATGATTATCATTTAATCAAGTTAAACCCACCACAACCCATTTCACCTAATTATCATTTAATTGGATAGATGAATTTAAAATAAAAAACTTCATGTTCAATGTTTATCAAGCAACTATAACATTTGAACCAATTGAGTGGTGGCTTAGTTATTCAAGTCCCTCTACTTGCATTAAAATACCAACAACAAAAAAATCTACAGCATTTGTATTACACAAAAATTTTATCCTAATGTCAAAACCGAAACACTAAATAATAAAAAGCTTTTGTTAAGATCAAACTGGATTGGATAAAAAAAAATCGCATGAAATAGCCATCATTACATTTAAATTCATAATGTCCAAGTGGTACCAATGGCAACGTTTCAACTAGAAACAGCCACGGTAGCAAAACATCACTTAATTGTCTGTTTGGCATTGATGCCGTTGTTCCAGGAAACGCTTGTTTAATTGGAATCGTTTTTCCATAAAAAACAGTGCTCCAAGCTACTGCCAACGAGGACGTGATGCGAACTTCCTATAATGGGTACCAGTACTGAAAATAGACATGGAGCACTGATACCAAATAGAAAGCGTCACTGTTGCTGTAGAAAATGTCCTATGTTTCAAACAAAAAAATACATAATTCTCAGAAAATAATACTTTCAACCCACACATCAGCATCAATGTCAAACATATACTAAATTAATCGATATCAAACATATACTAAATTAATCAGCTGCAATGTCTTAACTGGGACCCATTTCCTTGTGGACCCTAAGATTTCTAATCCATTATTACACATCTAAAAACGTATAGTTCCGATGGTTGATGATTTGAGAAACTTTATTTGTTAACAACTTATCAAAATTAATTTAACATTTCATATTAAGAAGTTAATAGCCCATATGGGAGGGATTCTGCATTTATCGAACTCTATTGACTGAATTGCTTTCAAAAAGCTACTGAGATAACTTCACTAAAAGTTGATTTTACAGCTTTTGTATTGCCTATTTTTGGCATTTTTTGATTTTTATAAGTACCACTTTATGGCCATCTAGATTCTCAGCTCATGTAAGCTGTTGCCTAAAAGCCCTCCTCCCAAGTGTTTACCCTGAATCAGAAAACTTTTAGATTGAAGGACCGCATTGTTAATAAAAAAGAGTGTGCATAGTTTGGCATATGTGGATATGGTTTACGTGGGTCCATGACTACAGCATGGGCCCACTAATCGGCCTTGGGCCCTTGGCCTTGCCTAAATAAATAGTGTCAGGAAGACACAAACTTTTCTTTTGTCTTTGGAATCTCTTAGAATATCTGAAGAATGCATGAAGCATCGTCCTTTCTTTTGGCATTCTTTGGTTGTTAGGGGTATCAATTGGATTGGATGCCGATCCAGTCTAATGTGAGTTTATTACAAATGGACCAGGTCTAATTTATTCTAATGAATATTTTGGACCGGTCCTATTCAATATCTGGACCATTTAATCTGTTTGAATTTGTTTGAATTTAGATTAATTCTAACTCAAAGTCCCAAACCTTGTCCATTGACACCTATAATCCTATCTTCTATCAGTGAATCATATATTGGCTTAATCCAACTTGATCCAATATAAATTTATTATGGATAGACCAGGTCCAATCCAATCCAATAAATATTTTGGATCATAAATTCTAGGTTGGTCCAATTTAATATGTCTTGTTGGTCCATCCAATCCATCCAAATTGATTTTGGTTTGGATGAGTTTCAATCCAAAACCAGTCCATTGACACCCCTAATTGTTACCATCTTTGAACATGCATACATACATAGGTTTTTTCTTATATTATGTATAATATCTTATATTTTTATAATTTAAAACACCTATTTACATGGGGTCAGGCCATAGCCCTTATCATACATGCTAAGCTTGTCCCATGATCACCCTAACCCCGTTCCACTTTTCCTCTAAGGCTATGTTTGGTTTGAAGGAAAAGGTAGGGAAAGGAAGGGAAACCTATACAAAGTTTGTAAAGATTTTCCTACATTTTCCTTCCTTTCCCTACATTTTCCTTCAAACCAAACACAGCCTAAATTGTGCCATCTTCTAACTTCAAGTAGAAAGTTAACTCATGTTTTTTAATGACAAATAAAATCTAATTTTAATTTCCTTAATTAAATAGAAACCCATCATCAGAGGGTCATATTCTTTTAGATAAGGGAAAATTATAAAATTCTCCCTTGTGTTTTGACTCTCAACTGACATCTTAAAAAATGTGTAAATATATCCCTTTCATTAATTTCCCAGAGGCTCCATTTGGAAAGAGTACAAATACAAATGTGTACAGTGTAAATACAAAATACAAGGTTTTACACTCTGGCTCAGTTTGGAAAGAATACAAATACAAATATGTATTGCAAACTGAGCCATGTAGTGCATTTTTTTTTAAGATATCAAATTTATCAAAAACATCCTTTATTCATATGTACATTTTCCCTATAAAAAATGTGAAACGAATTGATATCATTTTTCTCTTCTCCAATTTTTAAGACAAAGGAGAATGGCCTCGTCTCTTGTATTCTTCGTATCTTTCTCAACAAAGATCTCTATTTATGTTCTGAGATTTTCCACGAGTTTAAAAATGTACATCCAGACAAAGTTGGTCAAGTGTAAATATAGTATTTTAAAAAAAATAATGCATTATATTAGTGTTTTCCATCTGAAAATCAAGGGTAAATTTGGTGTTTTAAAAAATTAATCCCTTATATTAGTGTTTTCTATCTGAAAAAAAAATAATAATGGAAGAGATGCATTTGCACTTTTTTTAAATATCATGGGAGGTTTCATGGTCAAAATATAGGAAATCTTTATGGATTGTCAAAAAAAAAAAAAGAACCCAAAGTAGGTTTTAATACTTTTTTGCTTTGGATAAAGTGGATTGTTTAATTACAAAATTAATCCGAGGAAAATCTAAGAAAGAGTTTTGACCAATCCAAAATCTTGGACCTAAGGCCTAAGCGTCAAACCCAATCTAGTCAATCTGATCCCAACTCGAAACTGAAATTTGATACACTTGGAATTGGCCCAGGCTTAGGCTATAGGCTCGGGTTTGCCAATCGGGTCATGTGGACCTATTAGT